AGCTACTACCTTCTTTGTTGAGCACGTCAATCCCGTGAACCTTTCTTTGATGGCCACCGAGGAGAAGATCGAGAAGATCGAAGAAGCCTTCATCTCTCAGCCCTTGACTCCGACCGCGATGGTGTTGGACTTGGGATGCACGAGAGCTATGGCTTCCCGAGTGGCCGCACAGGACTTGATGAAGTTCTGTGATGAACATCCAGACTGTGGCATTTGGTACACCATTGCTGAGACCACGTCTCAGTTCACCTTTGCCAACTCCGAGTCGACCAAGTGCAACCAGAAGCTTGTGGTTTGCATGCACGACCGTGAGTATGCCGTTCAGTCTACGGAGTTTGACATCGTCGAGCAGGGACATGTACCGATTCTCATGTCTCTTCCTCAGATGCGCAATCTAAGGTTCCAGTTCGAACTCCATCCGGACAAGGCATTGCTTAGCAGTCCTGTACTGGGAATTTGGAATGTGAAGCTNNNGCACCTAGCTCACATCTCGTACTCGACCTCCTCGACTTAAGTCGCATGATGTGGAATGTCCGATTTGACAAGCACAAGAAGTCGAGCTTCCTCACCTACTTCTCCCACTACGAGTATGGTTTTCACCAGAAGAACACGGGAAGCTCTTCACAGGAAGAGGCACCCGAAAACCTCGTTTTGGTGGCAGATGATGAGTGGGTGATCAATGAAGCTGACATGGAATTGATCCGCATCCACAAGAGAGTGAGGAAGGCGAAGTTCGAACCCAAGGATGGACAAGTGCCTATCCCGTTGGAGTACCTGGACAACCAGCGCAAGACGATCATGGAATTCTCCAAGGGCAAGAAAGTCACCAAAGAAGATAATTGGCGGTCTCCTGAGCTTCCTACGTCACCAAGTACTGAATCTTGGAAAGGTAGGACAGTCTTCAAGATTTTGCCTGGTGGTGTCGAGTCTAGGACTTCGGTACGTGCTAATCTTCGTGAGCCCGGTCGTTCGGAGATCGGTTCACCTGAAGACATGATTAGCAAGGGTAAGCCTGAAGACAGCTCAGGAAAACCAGGAGCAGCCGGAAGCTTTCCTTTGGGAAAGGAACAGGTAAAGAGGAGAGTACGCGCGAAGGGACGCGGTCCACAGGGACCGGCACCCATTTCGTCGGCTCCTCCTCCAGCTCCTGCAGATGATCTGGATCTTCAAGATTATGAGCCTTCTGAGCCGAAGGAATCCGATCTGGATCCGCCAAAGGCCCCAGAGTTATCATCGCTAGAACCTAGGAGGATAGCGCTTCCGTTGCCTGGCCAAGAGGTCTCAAGGGCCTCTCCACAGTATCAGCGCATGTTGGAAAA